GGAAACTTTGGAATAGCACTGATATTGTAGGTACGATGTTGTAATCCACTGTGCGTTACCTGATGTGGTAATTACTACCATTACAGGACATTTTAATTGCTATAGAGTCAAATCTCTATATCTAATGAAAGCTTCTGCCTACAAAAGCTTTATTATATAGGCAGAGATGCAGATTTCTTACTAGTATTTCTTTTCCTTTGTGTTTAGCTGCTAATAGCAAGTGATTGTTGATGTCACGTGTCCCCTACTTGTTTAAAACTTCAAAAGTATCCCATAGTTTCATGGCAAAAGTGAACAGTTTTATTAGACTTGCTAGCTTGTCTGTGGACTCTTATTTTATAAATTTGCTTTTGAAATATAGTTGGGCAGGAAAAAAGCTATAAATAGTGCAAAAATACTATAAATTCTGCAAGTAGAGAGTGAATTCAATTTGGAATAGTGTGACAAACTGCTACATATACTTTCTACAGGTGAGGTCAAAAATAATGTCTTCTAAAAGTGACTATACAGCCCAGCCTTGACTCCTCAGCAAAATCGCAGGTGGAGCCAGGAACGAGCAGGGAGGTTCTGGTTGAGAACTGACTGTGAGCAGCTTGTGGAGTTCCAGCTCCAGCCAGGCAGTGTTGTGAAGGCCGAGGCCAGATGAAGCACTTGTCTCAGCTTCATGGGCTCTTGGATGTTTCTGACCTGGTACCTTCAGCAGCACTGAGCGGGTGTTTGCATCAAGTGTGGTCCAAGTCAGTACGCTCTGTTTTGGGCAGTGATAACTCGACCTTCTGTCTCACAGGACTCTATTTGCAGCAGAGACCCATCTAACTTGCGTGGTGTGGTCTTCAGAGGGTGAGAATTAGGGGCTCTCTGCTTCAAGGTAGACACCTACAACAGCTTGACCTATGCAAGACCACATCTAAAGCAGGAATTTGGGTGCATTCAGTCACTAATCGTTCTGGGATGAAGATCATGGAAACAAACCCCATTCCAACTTTTAGGACTTGCTACCCTGCTAGGAATTGCCCATCTCTGTTGGTTCTGCAGACCAAGGGTTTTTCTGGATATTTGAAACATTGCTCATAATGTTCGTACAGTGGCAAGGGGAGCAATGAGGTGAGCTATTACTGTAGCCTGAGCAGTGAGTACTGAGATGTAGAAATATTTGTACTGAATATTTATAAACTGTGGGCTTCCTGAGTCTCTGCGTGCTCCAAGAGCACCCGCGTATGCTCACAGGGATTTCCCTTTGATGTCCCTTTAGTCTTCAAGATCAAAATCAACCTTGTGGCTGAAAGCGGCCTTTGCAGAAAGTCTTTGGCCAGCTATGGAAAATCGCTGTGTTTCTGCAATCTGCATTGCAGATATTCAGCCATCGCCAGTCCAGACTTTCTGTGTGACCACCAGTCTCTGTTAGGGACCCTGCCCGAAGAGAAGGGGGTAGATAACTCTCCTGTGTTTAAAAAGGCAAGTGCTGTGAGAAGCAACTGGCTGTGTGGGGTGGGTCAGTATTAGTGATGAGGGAGCAGGTAAGAAAGGATATGCTGTAAGGAGGGGGACACATAAGGAGCCCTTGGTGCTGAGGCTGTGAATCCTGGGCATTGTGTGTGGCAGGAGCAGGCACGGAGAAGAGGGACATAGGGAAGTATAATGCCCAAGTGTCACCTCCCCCCCACCATGGGGACAACAGATTGCCCCAAAGCAAGGACACTTGTGGCCATTGAACATTATTACTTATTTATCACTTGGTGGCTTGTTGTGAAGAATAGCCTTGCACTTGCAGCACAGATGACATGGGCTTGTCCAGTTAATTTGCAGCCAGGTAGGGTAGCTTCACAGTGCCAGTTTCACCTGCTGAAGGTGCTTGTGTTGCTCTCCTTTTCATCTGCTGTCTGCAAGGTTCAATTTGTGCCTTGGTAAATGGGGAATGGGAACATGCAAAGTGCCTGAAGTAACCACCTGGCAATTAAACTGCAGCTTTTTGGGAGCTCTAAGGCAAAATGAATTCCTGAAAATGCTCCTGAAACCAGAGGTTTCTTTGCGAAGAAATTAACCATAAGGAGGACAGAGGAGCTGTTCAGTCTGTCACTCCTCAGGAAATAAAGATTTACAGCCCCACAGCTTATATTAGGTAGAGCAAATCCTATGCTTTAAGATGTTCCCTAGAGAAAACACTGTACTCAGAGCTCTGCAGCTGGAGAGGACGGATGGTCGAGCAGTCCTTGTGAAATCAGATTCAAAACACAAACATTTGGTTCACAAGCAGTCTCTTTCCATTAAGTTTAATTCTTATTGTCTACTTCAATGGAAAAGCAGAAAATAATTGTGTTTTACCTCTCTGTTCTTTGTACCAGCACCTTTCACAGCCCCATTAGTAAAACTCAAGGGAGGTGTCTCTGGAAGCATGGGAAGAAATGGAGAGTCACAGCTGTGAGTTGGAAGAGGCCATGTGTGTTTTACTGCAAGCTTTTCCCAAGGTGAGAAATCTCACTGAAGTGTTTACTAGAATATCTCTCTTAAAAATAAGTCTTTGCTTTAGGTTTTATGGATAGTATAAAAACATTTGTAAGATCAAGAACACTTTGCAGTTGCATAGTAGCTTGTACCTTCTGAGGGGGATGTAGATGAGCAAGTTGGGCAAAAAGCCCAAATTTTGGATGCAAATGGGAAAGCTGTTAAGTGTAACATATACAGACTGCCTGTGATTAAGGCCAGCCATGGGAATGAATCCCAAAAACGAGAACTAGAAATCGGCCCAGCCTTTTCCTCATCCCCAAAGGCAGTGGTGGATGAGAGGGGATTGCAATGTGACTCTTCTCCTGTCCAAACCCTGCAGCGAGGTGAGAGTTTCCCAAAGCGCAGAGGTCACTGGGCACACAGAGCAAGGAGCAGCTCCAACACCACATCCCAGCCCAGGCTCCCGGTGGTGGCTCCATGAATTCCACACAAAGCAGCCGGTGCGAACGGGGCAGCGCATCCCGGGCTCCTCTTCCTCCCAGCGAGCCCCTTCTAGTGACACTGTGCAGCGCGTGCTCTGACTCTAAATGCCTTAGAGCTTCAATACAGACATGCAAAATTCTCCACCTGAGCTTCGTAGCAGGGGACGTTATCACCCCATCTTTTGATTATACTGGGATGGGGAAACACATTTCCATAACAATGACACTTAATGACCAGCAATGGGGAAAATTCAAGGTCTAATTTTATATATGGAAATAAAGATGCAACTTCTCTGCAGAAATATTTGAAACTTCTTTTAAGAAAAGATGTTGGTAGGGAACAGATGGCCGCCTGGCGCCATACATATTCATGAGTGCATTTATTTCATTATGCCTTCCCCTGGGAACCTCGCGCTTCGGCTTTTATAAGTTTGCCTGGCCATCAAATTGAGCAGTCACAAGCCCCCCGTCAAAGGCGGCGTTGCTGTAGAAATTGGGGGAAAGCATGTGAAAGGCTTTAGCACTTTTGTCTTGACTTTTATCCTAGGAACACCTGTTAGTTTGAGACACAGGCAGAGATTTTTATAAGATATAAGCGGTGTTACGTTTTGGTAGAAAAAGGGACTGTTCATGTTAAGCATGTTCCTTGCGCCTTATGTTTGTGCGGCAGTTTGGGTGCTTTTGGGCTGTTTAGTTACTTTGAAGCAACATGTTCTGTGCATTTCGGACCTCTCAGTGCAACACAGAGCTGCCAGAAGCTGCTGCAGGGGAAGTAAATTCTGCAGATCTGCTCTGTGTATTTAATTGCTCAGGATGAATTTTAGAGAGCAGCAAGGGCTCCGATTGCAAAGGGACATCAAATTCCATTTTTCCCTAGGTGTGCACGTTTGTAGCTCCCTTTGCACCCAGGGACTGGGCTCCTGGGCTGGGCGCGCAGCTGAGAGCTGCCCTCCCGCCCGCTGCATGGGCCCAGCGCAGCAGATTGGCCTGAAGGGAGCCACAAAAGTCGCTGATTGATGGCAGGGCCGCGGCCGCGGCCTCTCGGCGCCGCATTCACCACCTATGGCTGCTGGAGCGCGCTGGGCAGCTGTTCCTTTGATTTGCAAAGCGAGGTTTAGTTCCAGAGAATGGGCCCGGATAGAGGGGATCCTGCACAGTGGAAATTCCTTTTATCTCTCCCCTTTTTGTAGCGGGTGCCTTTCTTTGGGGCCAGAGACGTGTTGCCTGTGCTGAGCGCACGGTCGTGGTGGCGGAGGCCCGCGGAGGGGACGCCGAGTGTGGCCCTGGGACCGCAGACACGGAGCAATTTCTTACCTAGACACAATCACTGCCAGGGTGAAGCCTCTTTGGAGCAATTGCTTAAGCCGAACACAACTAGCCCCAGGCTGTGGCACAGGTGACGCTGTTGCCTGTGTCAATACAGGCAAAATTGGACCTAGCCAGTAAGGAACCTCCAATGTGCTCCAGTACTGTTTCAGTAACAACAAAAATTACAGTTAGTATTCTCCCCTTCGAATTACTTGATAGAGAGTACAGTTTAATTAACTAAAATGTGCCCAACTGCAGGTTTTTTGCATTGTGGAAATGTCAGTTTAGTGTGTGGCTCCCCAAGCAAACTCCAAGGATCGTTTAATTTTAAGATGATTGTGGCCTTGAAGTAACTTAAAAGGTACTAATATATTTAATCAAAGGAGGCAACTAATAAGATAGAAATAAATCATTCATGCATATAAACAGCGCTGCTGTGAAGAGTGGGTAAAGGCACCAGGGAAAACGTTGGGAAGGAAATTTTTTCCTCGGGCACCTTGATGCTGGTTTCTCTGAAGCTAAAGAGCAGTTTCATCAACGGCCAAGTTTAGTCTTTATGTGTACACAGCATACTGAGTTGCCCTATAAAATATCTGTATTTATGCCTATACTCATACACATAATTTGTGCATACATTAGCTACACAAAGTGTGTATTAACTGTTTCACAATTTAATAAGCTAAATGCCTCTCTAAATGTCAGGATTCAGGTTGCTTGAATAACCCTAATTTTAATTTTACCCTTTCATCTTGCATGCTGAATGAGAAATCATGAAGGAAAAGTCATCCACGCTCAAGCAATTAGGATGTCTTTCCCAAGACTGAACTGCCATCACTTCACTGCTGCTGTTGCTCATCTGGGGTAGGGCGTGTTGCCTGATTTCACTGCACAAATAATGTGGTTTAGTTGTGTTTATTTTTTGGTAATTTGTTTTCTGATTGTTTGGGCCTGCGTGCCTTTGATGGTGTCAGTGTTTTGCTAATTTGGCTTTTCACCTGGAGGAGGCTGCTGTGCCCCGTTGCTTTTCTCTGAGACTTTTAAACATTAGTGCTTATGGGAATAGAGTCTTGGAAGGATGCATTTCTGTTGATTCTTTTTAATTGCTGTTTTGCTATAAATACGTGTTCTCATGCAAAAGGTCTTTGTGCAGCAGCCTTAGAGGGGCCAGCTGGGGTGTCTGCTGCACTTGCAGCTCTGCCCAGGCAATTGAAGTTCCCATTGAGTGCACTTTATTGCACTTAAACCTCTGAAATGTTCAAAACCTATAAATCTTTCAATGCAGACTGGATGCTTCTGCTTCACAGTGCTCTGCTGAACCCCTCTGTCCATCCATCCTCTTTGTCCTGCTCATGGACTGGCTCCTACGGAGTGCAGGAAGAAGCACGAGAAAAGCCAGGTAAGGCATCAAAGCTAGCAAACCTCTACAGAGCCAGCTATGATCCAACAGATGGGACTAAATAACTTAAGTTGACAGTATCCCTTAACATAGAAACAATAATTTACTGCTGCGATCACAAGAGCTGGCCTGGACATGCCATCTGCTGAAAAAAAGAGTATTCTACCTTTCAACAACATTTTCTGTTGTGTTATGTGGCTCAGCAAACTCAGGATTTGCTTTGTGGGAGCAAAGATAAGAGACCAAAAAAGGTAAAATTGCTGAAGCAGCACATGGGGTGTAGCAGGAGATGCTTCCCTGCTGTAGTCATCCCTCTGTCTGGATGCAAACTTCCTTTCTACTGTGGATCAAGATGGGAGATGGTGATGTGTTCAGTCCAGCATTACTTGGATCCCTAGATTAAAACTTTTCTTCAAGCAGATCCTGCTGCTGCGATGCTCTCAGCTGGCGCAGGCCCCGCGTGCCGTGTTCCCGTGATCCGTATTGCCGCTGAGATCCGGCACTGGCAGAGCGCTCTGCACAAGAGCCACTCTTTTGTTGCACACTTGTGCTCATCTGGGGAGCACTTGCAAATTATTGAATATTTTAATCTTCTTGCATGTTCTCGTGTGCATCACAGCAATGCTCAGGCAGTCACAGCGAGCCCGCTACAGCCTCAGAGGGATTTGCAGACTTCGGAACAGTGCGTTCCCACTGTAATTTCCTTCTCATCTTCACCTCCTGCTACTCCCTTCTCATCTAGCTCAATACTGCGCTGGTGGAAAGCAGCGTTTTTGGCAGTGGGTCCCTTTGTCGCCAGTTCCCCTGCTTTGGGAGCTCTTAGATGTGAGGAAATCTTGCAGACTCCTTCTTAATCCTCTTTCCTTAAAGATTTTGCTGACAATTTTGGAGTTTGGTTGGGTTTGTGCTTGTGTCGATTTAAGCAAGTTTCTGTGGTAAAATGTATTTTTTTTGTAGTAGGAATGGGCAGGACGGGAGCAGCCTCATGCCTGGCCCAGCGGGCACCAGCACAGGGTCTCTCCCGGTGCTGTGTCTTCCCCTGCATGTGTTGGAAGTGCTCCTGGTGCTCATCTTCCTGGGATTCCTGCTGGGCCAGAGTGTGAAAGAAGGCTAACATCCTCCCCAGTTTGGCAGTCTTTATCTCAGCGTCTTAGCAAGAATGAGTTTTAGGCTCCAGTTTTAAGTCTTGAAAGTCTTTAGCATTAATAAAGCACCATTTATCTCCTGTTTCCACAGTAATGGGGATTTTCATGTTTTTACCCTATTTTTAGAGCTTTTTAAAAGTCTGCCCCTATTTTCAAACTGGAACATTTTGTCACCATTGATGTACAGCACCATGGAGAATATGCAGCGTGCTCAGTGTGCATGACCTCCACAGTGCCACTTCCAAGGAACAGCTGGAGAAACTCTGGAAAACTTCATCCCAGAGAGATGCTTCCTTCCTCCTTGGAGGCAACAGGTAGTAGCTTGTGCCCCAAAATCCTTGGCCCACAGGGCTGGATCCCAGGTAGGTGCACTTGTCTTCCTTCCCTAGGATGAGGGAACTGTGTTGGATGGACAGCAAGAATTCCCATTCTTCTGCAGGTTGATGGGATGAGGTGGGTATTGCTGCATTGGAGCTCGTCCCTGGCCTCTGCTCCCAGCAGCTCAGCATCCTCCTCTCGCTTTTGTCTGTGCCTTGAAATAAATGGAAATAAGATTGAGGTGCAGTTCAGCCTTTGGATTTTTTTATTACTCCTTTCACTCGGGAAACTAAATCCTATCTTAAGGTGCACTGGCAGGGCTGATACGAATAAACGGCACTGCATTTGGGCTGGCAAAACTTATTAAAAATCTGGCCCCGTATTTTTTGTCTGATAGCGATACTTGCATATTCTGTTTATTTTCAATTATCTGATAAAGGAGAGGAAGACCTTTGCTCATGCCTTCCAGCACACTTCACTTGTGCCGTTTGCTGGAGCTGCAAGGGGAAGGGTTGGGTGGAGCTAATGAAAAATATTTTGCAGTGGTATTAGCTGATGGATAATTTAACTTTTCCTATTTTATTATGCTGCTAAGCAACATTTTAAAGGGCTGTACGTTTCCCTTTTTGTACGGGTGCCCAGCGAGCATAGTCTTTATTCTGTGCTTTAAATCTAGCTAAAAAGTTGAGTATATAGCACCATAAGTCTTTGTTGCCATTTAATAGATTTATTTAATCATCCTTTATGGGCTAGGTTAGCAGCTACTGCCTCTGTTTACAGGAGGGGGAGATGATAAACCTGGAGGACTTGCTCTGGTCAGTGGAAATGCTTGGAAAACTCTCCCCAGCTTTAACCATTTGCTGTTCATGCTAGTTTTCATTGATGCTCTAGGGTTAATTTTGTTCTTTTCCCCTGTCACCTTTGGGTCAGGCTTCAGTCTCCTAATGCAGAATCACTCAGGGCCTAGATTTTTGCTAGGTGAAAATTGAAGATTTTTGTTGATTTTACCTCATCTCAGGATGTGGCTCCTAGTTTGAAGGTTTGGTCAGAATGAATTAACTGCTAATTTGTTAACCCTGAGGTGAGTCCTGAATAGTCTCAAAGAAAATCCTGTCCATTGCCATGTGTATTTCCTGACTCATCCAAACACTTACCATAGCAATGGCCATGTTACCTGGGCTGGTTATTTAATAACTTCATAAAAAAGATTGAAACAGATACATAATGAATCAAAATGCACTCAGATCAAATGATTAGAAATTTCTAGTTAATCACCAGAAAGGAAGCTAATTAAATTACTATTCAGCTTTTATGGGGGCCTGGGGACTGTGCTAAAATAAGTCCTTTCAATCACTTTTTCATTAGATGGGACAGGCATATTCAAGGTTAGTGAAGACAAATGCAATGTTCTTTGATCCCTCTTGAAATTATATTATTTAAATTATGCTTTATGCTTCATCACCTAGTACTAAAACTAAAATATCTGGGTAAGAAGCAGCCATGGCAGAGAGAGCTCATCAGGCAGACACACAAAGGTGTTGAATATTATGGAATACCCAAATCAAAGCTTAAAAGATTTTCATTTAATTATTGTTTACATTTCTAGTTGGATTTTCCCTTTAGGTGTAAGGTAGGTGGGTTGCGGTGGGAGGTGGGTAGTTCTCATGTTGTTGGTGTATAGAAAGTGGAGCAGGAGCCACTCACCACCAAAGCACTTTGCAGAGGCAGCACTGCTGTTTTGCAAAATGGGACATCCCATGGTGCTTCAAAACCAGAAAGCTACATAATGCTCAAATATAAGGCAACCCATCGATTGAAGAAAGGAATAATAAATCTGAGCTTAAACAGAGTTCTAAATATTTTGGTGTTCCTTTAAGACTCAAAGAAAAGGCAAACTTCTCCAGGCTCACATATGTAACAAAAGATGCCAGCGATATCTCTTTTGTTCGACAAAAGGGAGGATTTTCAGAAGAAAGTTAAGTCGGTGAAATCTTTTCACTTCCTTCCTTAGCTTTGTAACACCCGTATCCAAGGTTTCTGACACCTAGGACTTGTTTGAAAAGTTAAGAAAAGAAAGCACAGCTGCAAGATTTCAAAGCGGGGCACAAACAAGTCAAAATAATCTCACTTCAAAATCTGGGCTCTTCTCCTTCATGGTAGCTTATCCCACACATAAGTGACGGACGGCTGTATTTAAAGAGCCCGAAGGTCGTTTAGGTTGCCTGTTGAATTGATGCCACCCCACCTACAAAATAACAGCTCGTCTTTTGCCAGGAGCCCTTGACTAAAGCCTTGAAGTGTCGCTGATTTGGGCCTTTTAGTGATGCTGGTCCTTACTCTTGCTTTGCCTGTGGATGGGCTCGGTCATCCTGGGAGAATGGTGTCTTCCATTAGAATAAGGAGAACATTTCTGGGTATTTTGATATTTCTCTTGTAGGAAAAAAATCTCCATTCAAACAAAACTCCTTCTAACAGGGGGAAGAAATTCTTTGCACATGTTTCCAAGAATCCAATAATGCAATGGGATTTGTGTGGTCCCACTGCAGCAGTCACTGGTGTTAATGATGTGTTTGGGGTTTGCAGAATGTTTTGGCAATGTCGGGGATCAGAGGCAGAGAACACCCTTGCAATGAGCTGGACATCCTCGTGGTTTCACCTGTGCTGGATGTGCTCTGCTAGTGGGGTGTGCGCCCATGAAGACTCTGCTGGGACACCAGCTCTTGTCCCAAGTCTGCCCCACAGACGATGTCCCTGGCATGTGAGCGATCTCGGAGCAGGGAGACAAGGAGATGTCCTGCCAGTGCTGCACTTCTCCAAGGACACCAAATCTCCATTTTCTCTTGTGGTTCACTGGAGCAAAGTCTTGCTTCATCATCTAATTTCTCACATGATTGGTGCTTGTCCTACATTGCTGGGGTTGGTCTGGGTGTAATGGCACTGGGAAATGGTAGCAATAAGCATTAAGGTGTCTGTGATGAGCAGAATGGTTTTTTACTGCTCTTCGTTTCATAGTAGAAGTAGTTCATTATGGCAGTTATAGAGGCTTAAATATGATTATTTCCATATTACTGCTAGTGCCTAGAAAGCTCACTTGCAGTCCAGGAATTCACTGTCAGAATGTGAAGCAAAAATGCATTGATGCACACCTAAATAACTAGCTGCTGGATTTTACTCTAAATATTTGTAGAAATAAGAAAGGGACAATAACCAAAACCCAGGAAGAAGACTAAGAGGGTGAAAGTAAGTGCCTAAGAGGTGAAAGAAAGTGGTCCTGGGGACCATCAATGAACAGACTTCTCCCATTAACCTCATGATCTTCCTGGTCTTTTTGCTGGTCGCTCTGATCTTGGTCCCTCTTGGCAGCTGCAGGGCTGGGTCTGAAGGGCTGAACCACAGCGTGGCTAAGCGTAGCTCTGGCTACGCTCTGGCTCTGTAGCTACTTTCCCCTGCAGCTTAAGGCTACATCTTGCATTTTAGGCTTTTGATCATGTACTGATTATTTTGTCATTATTGCGTGAACCTCTCGGTGTCCTACAATCGAGTGTGACTGGAATAATTAAGATATGCAGAGGGAAGATAGTAGAGACTGTGAGTGCGCAAGGAACTGATAATATGAATCATAATGAGGATGAGGGTGCTGCTATTAAAATTGTGTTTATGATTTTTGTTTCCAGGTGCAAAGTCAGGTCCTAGGGAGCTCTCCTGCACCTTGTGTACAGGCAGTGAAGCACCTGTGTGTGATCAGTGTTAATTGCAAAGATATAGGTGAGAACATTTGTACATTTTATGCAAATAATTTTGAAGGTAACTGTTCAGTGGTTTTTTTTAACCTGAATACTACTGTGCATGAGAGAAGAATGATATGTGTTTGAGAATTCTAGTCTTTAGGACTGTTTCTATATTAATGTGATAAAGATATTAGGAAATAATATGAGCAATTAATAGGGAATTATATGATGACTTGATTATGATATTGAATTAAATTCACAACTGCATGAGCAGTCCATACCAGCATGCTCCTAGGGTTTATGTCTTTAATGACTTAAAAGTAATTCCTAGACAGGTGTTATATAGTGAATGGGGTCTTCTAAAGCCTTTGGCAGCAGCAGAATTACAAAATAAGGGAAATATAGGTCTGGGGAGCTGCCAAAAGCCTGATGATTTTCCATGTGCCTGAATCCCTAAGTGTGCTTGTCGGTGAACTTCACGGTGCTGCAGGGAGGCGATGCTGATGTGAAACACCAGCAGCAGCTTGTGATGATGGGCAAGGCTTCCTCCAGCGTGTTTCTCCGCACTGCACGAGCGTGGCTCAAGGCCCCAGCACTGGGGCTGCTCTCTGCTTCCTGCCACAGAGCAGGTGAGGCTCGAGCAGGAGCGGAGGCAATGAGAGGCTTGGAGGAGGTGTAAAACCCACCCCATGCCACCCGAGATTTTGTAAAAATGATCCCCAGCACAGATCGGTGCGATAATAGGTCAGAGGAACATAACATGGCTCTTAACCTGTGAGAAACTCCAGGTGGGCAGTAGGAAGAAAAGCCGAATGAGGCATTAAAACCTGGGCACCATGAGGGGTGTTTTACACGTCTAGTCAATGGTGGGCATGTGATGGGAGTTTGCAGGAGAGATGCTGGCTTTGAGTAAGGAGGAGCTCTGGGCCTCTCGCTGCAGAAGCAGCTAGGGACAGCACTAGCCAAGTACTGTGTGCTGCCAGCATGTGCAAGCATTTTAATTGCATTTAATGTGAAGATTGTGGCTACAGCAGTGCCGATGGTCAACTCTTCTTGCTGACGATCCCCTAAAATCCCACCTGCGTCTGCTTACCCTGCACACGGCACAAATCAGGGGCTCTTGGTTCCTGACAAAGTGCTTGGTAAAAAAGTGCTTTTTAGAGGATATAAAGACTTCCTTAGCAGAGAAGTGATGCTCCAAAAGCTTCATCCTCCTCCTGGGCTCTATCCAGAGAGGCCAATGCACCTTTGGCCCAGATGGACACGGCTGATCCGTCCTGCTGTCACCTGCCCAAACCTGACCTGTGTCTCCAAACCTGCATAGAGGTGTGCATAAGAGCAGGAAGCTCAAGTTAAAAAGGGGGAGATGTCCCTGTGGTGACCGTGGCTGCAGAGCCTCCCTGTGCTGCGCCTGGCTCTGCGGGGGCACAGATATTAAGCTCTTTAATTCTTTCATGGTTTAATGATATTTAAATGGCTCAAATAGCTTCAATAAATGAATACATTATGAAGATAGTGTTTGAGAAATTACAATAAACCATAATGGACTTAGCAGTTCATTAGCTTCGTAAATGTCACCTTGTTATTAAAAGCACAGGTAAAGGCAGTTTGACAGCAGCATCCATTAGTGCCTGGCCCAGGGAACTGCGCGTGTGCCGCTCAGCGTGGTCAGAAACAGCGACTCCCTCCTAGGGCATCGCAGCCGTTTCCCTGCCCGCCCTCGCTCCTGCCTGCCCCCCATGGAGCCCCCTGCTCATCCCGGCCGCCAGAGATGTGCTTCAGGTATCGCGAGTTGTTAAAGTAATTAGCTAATGCCTAAAGAGTGGTTTGAAGAGGAGAAGCATTAAGCAAATAGGAAGTAGTGTTAACACTATTGTTAATAAATATGGGAGCATGATCCATAATAAAAGCCTGGGTGATTAAGTGTTTTTCACTGTATTGCTCTCCCAAGACCCTTGAAAAAAATAACGAAAATTAACAGGCTTTCCTCTGATTTCTCGATTAAGCTTCAGGTACTGTAGGTAGCTCAGATTTTTATTTCTCTGAAAAATAGGCTAGGAAGACTGAAATACAAATTTTATACTTTATACATGAGGAGGATGAAGATGATCAAGAGGTGAAGCATCTACTTCACAGCCTTGGATACATCATGGGGCTGGATGTGTTCCACCAAATGGTCACCATTGGAGTTCTTGGAATAAGATGGAAAGGTGGATAAAGAAATCTGGGTGGCAGCAATAAGCTTTGGAACTGGAGGCTGTGCACAGTGGAGCGAAAAGCAGTTCCTTTACGTAAGTACATTACTTTAATTGAAAACAAAACATCCCTAAGTTTCCTGAGAACAAATTGTATTGTGGGCCGTAAGGGAATACAAGAAGCAAGGCTTTGCATCATCTCCACGTGCAGCCCCTCCTGCCTCCTTAAAGTCAGTAGGAGACATTTTTATTGACTTAAATAGACTTTGGATTTCACGCCTTGGTTTCCAGCATTTGAATGTGTCGACTGCGGTTTCTTCTCTGGCCACCTTTAATGTAGTGGTTGGTCATGAGATGTGCAGTGGCTTGAACTGTTGCAGACAGTCCCCAAAATTGCAGAGAAATGCTCTATTGTACCCCACATATGCAGTAAGGTGACCCCAGAGTATTTGCTGGAGTCTCTTTTAGTCCTGCTTATTGTCACTTAAGAGACTAAACAAGAACCAATAGCTCTTCTAGCAGTAATAGTAAATTATAGTTATGGTGAACACAACTACCTCATTACATCTAGTCAGGGTCTGTTTCTCTTTTACAGCTCTAACTGTAGGAAAGTGTTGTTTTTTAATTATGAATGAGGACTCATAGGAATCTGAGCTTTCCTATTTACATAAACATGATAGACAATTAATCTTCTATAAAGTAACCAGAGTGGTATTCAAAACTGACAGACTCCTCTGGAAGCACATTAGAGGAGGCCCACAGGATAGTCATATCATAGTGCGTTTTAATGGTACTTTGTTGCATAGAAAAGTATAAACAGCAGGAAAATGGGTAATTCCTTTCTTCTCTTTTTTCTTTCACCTAATTTTATGCTCTATGATTCTTTCAGCAACAATTGATGCATGGATTTTTATATGCTGAGCAATGGGGGTGAATACTATGTCAGAGTAATGAAAATAGCTAAGATTAGCAAAATATGATGAATTTTTATTGAGATTGCTTGTCGCATCACCTCTATCTGAAATTTTTATGATTTTCAAAAAAGTCTTTGTGCTGATGTTGCAGTGTAAATAAGGGAGTGATAAAGAAAAATTGACCTTGTATAAGTGTCATTATTAGTCCTGCTCAATAGGCATCTTTTTGGTTTTAATAGTTTGCTGGGGCTATGATATATGACCTGCCTATATTTTGCTAAATGTATTTATTGGTCAGAAGGGAAAATAGCTGAAAATGTGAGGATTCTGACAGCAGGAGAGAAATTTCATCTTATCTGTTGGTGAATATGCAAAGCCAAAGGCAGTCGCATTAAAATCAATGGCAATTATTTGTAAACACAAAAAGTTTTACATTGTATGGAAAAGGGGCCATAAACTAGCACCACAAGCCAGTTAAAGTGCTGAATCTTCCTTTATTTACACTTTGTTGAATCTTGGGAGGTTGTTACATCCAAGATATTTTAGACCAGTACCGTTATATGTTCAGCAGTGCAGAGGTATTTGTGAGATGAATTAACTTCCGAATGTTATAGCAAACTTGCCTTTTCACATGGAAACTCTTGCCTGTGTCTGCCTCATCCAACAGAATATAATAAAAAGTGGAAATCATAATAAATATCTTACATAAAATGTAAAGTTAATGATAGATGCACTATGTTCAGTAAGTTTGAACTACCCACTACCAGTCTAGGATTAGATCTGCCTGTAAGTCCTATTGCAGTCCTATTGTCTGACTTAGGCCTGGCTAAGCCTCTGGTGACACTTCTGCCCACACCACTACTGAGCAATTTCTGATTTTTCTTTTATGCCATCTTATTAAGACTTACAAAAAAATAACTGTGAAACAAAAGCCCCTATCAACTGTGGAGAGCAATTAATATTGAATAGTACTATTAACAACAACAAAAAAGCATGGGAATACTTTAAATCACTTGTTCTACTTGCCAGCAGCGTTATTGGTATACGCAGTCATGCAAGGTACCAAATTATATGCAAATGCCACTTTGTCTCGAAAATAATGTCCTAGAAATAAAATACTTCCTGACAGGAAAGTATTTTCATCATGCAGAAAATCAGCATTTACATTCTTCATTTAAGAAGCATTTAGGCGAGGATTCACAAAGTTGAAAAACATACTTTGGGTATGTGTGTTTTTTAAAGCCAGACTGAGTTGCTGTCTTTATGTCCTCAAATTAATGTAAATGATCGTTTTGCTCTTCTTAATAACTGCAAACAATTCTAACGTATTCAGACGATCATAATTCAGGCAGCTTCGCGACGAGCCCTTCCTGGCTCTCCGGGATGCATTACACGCCAGAGCTTTCAGCCTCCTATTGATTGATTCTTTGCAATAGACCTTAAAAATCCATTAAGAAAGAAGTTAGATGTGAATTAATTCTAAACCCTTTGTTGGTATGTGTGGCTGAAGAAAGCCCTCTTAAAGCCATTAATCATAACTCAAAATAGACTCCTAACTTTAAAATAAACTTTACAGTAAAGAAGGGAAAGCGCCGTGCAGGCATTTAGCTCCATGGTCCCCTTTCCCCACTGGGCAGCAAGGGTGTTTTTAACTGTTCGTGAGTGTATTTTCACTATTTTTTTCCAAGTATGTTGTTCTGGTTAAAAATAGCTTGAAATGCAACCATCTGTGCCAAAACTGAAGTAGATTGTTATTTAATAGATAGGATATGTCGCCAACTTAGAAAAATATGAAAAGCAAAAACAACGAAGCTTGGCATCTCCTGCCAGGTAACACCATTAATCAGGCAAAACTTAATTTAGGACACTAAAAAAACTCCAAAAGCCTTGTGAAATCTTCACCCATTATTAATTACTAAAATTGATATTGCACTAGACCGTTCATATACCCACTGCTCCCCAGAACATCTCAGTCTTCAAAATGAAGTTATGAAAACTTTAAATTAAAACCAAGATACAACAGAAATGATGTAAGCAAGCTGATATTAAATAGAAACATGGAGAAATTTTGTCTAAAAGGGTAGCTGCACTTTTGTTTTGCAGTCTTGTTCTGTGTCTATAGTTTGTGTTTATTAAGCCATGCAAAGTGGAATGTTCTTGATTCCTGTGTGTGCCAAGGATGGGACAAGGACCATCTGTCCCTCCTGGTGCCTGGCCTGCCCTTCCTGCTTTGGGGTCCTCGTTCCTGATGGAGAAGAGACCTTTTGTCATAACAACTATGACAGGGCTGTGGATCTCTGTGTTAAAACAGGAGGTTTTTGTCTGAAAGCTTAGCAAGGAAAATCAGACAGTGCGTCTTCAAAGACCTGAAAGTGAACTTGGTGGGGGGGGCGGGGGGAGACATAGAAAAATATTTCTGTCTTTCCCCAGAGGTCCCAGGTACAGTAGTAAATTGCTCAAGTAATTGAACTGAAGCTGCTGAGCTGTGTAATAGCCATTAATCCTTCCATGCTCGGAGGACGTGTGGGATCCGAGACAAGTGTGCCGGGCTGGGACGCGTGGCATGGCAGCAGCGCAGGTAATTTCCAGGTGGTTACTAAAATCCTGAGAGCTTTATGTCAGCTGGAGAGTAATTGGCTTGTTGAGTTAGAAAGCAAAAGGAAAAGCAGATGCGTCAGGCTGTAGAAGAGCAGGATTGAGCAGGGGTTGCTGCACTGGGTCGTGCAATCCATGGTGTCTTCCAGGCAGGCTTCAGGGAGCACCCATTCTGCATATGTATGTGATAGGCTGTGATATAAAGCACAGGGAAACTTGGAATAATGTCCCAGCGCATGGTTGGAAGTAGTTAAGCTGTGCAATTTGTTAAGAAAAGTTACTTTGAAGAACTATGCTGCAAATTTTGTTGCTGGAAGCGGGTGGATTGATTTCCCGTCTCATTATGCGCTCTCCTGCCTCATTATACGATCCGGCTCCATGCAGCATGATGGATTGGGCTACTGTCCTTTCCCTGATGGGCAATGCCATGCGGAATAAGGGGTTTCTTGCTCCAGTGCTTTGGGACAAGCTTGCTTTTAAACTCTACTAGATCTTGTGGACCTTACCCAAGAGCTACGGGAGCTTTCGGTGGTTGTGTGGGGACGTGTCTTGGCAGGACATGGAGACATCTGACATGCTCTGAAGGCCCATAAGGTCCATGTGTTCAGGGGACGTGTTTTAATGCCCTTGCAGAGCATGTTGCATTGATCACTAGTGAAAAAGAATAAATTTTGCAGAACCAGCTGTAGCATGGTATCTGTGCAGTGAAAACTCTACCATTGTTAAGCCAGACATTGTTGTTTCTATATAGTTTTCTCCTTAATTTGCATAGCAAATAGCAAGAAATACCTCTGGCTATATTTTAGCCCAAACCAAGCAATCTCATTTGAGCGTTTTCTCCAGGATGGAGGTTGCATTATCATCATGCATGCTGAGGCAAAATCCAAACTGCTTGCTGAGTGGCAAGAACTGACTAGAATAAATAAATAAAAGCCCAGATGTATCTGTCCTTGGTGCAGATGTGTTGAGTGCAGTAGGAGCTTGCAGCACTGCTGGGAGGTCAGGAGTGATGGCCACAAAGCTGCTGCATTTCCTGCAGAGGTGAGGAAGGACATGATTCACAGAGCATAATTCATCTGACAGATGCTTCTTTTCCTTCCTTTCTGCGTCTTTCTGCATCTTCTCTTTGAGTGAGTGGCCTTTGCTATGTGTTAGAGCAGGAGCCTGATGCAACCCTTTGCCACTGGTTGTCAACACCAACGTTAATTTAAAAAAAAAAAAAAAAAAAAGAAGGTTCTAGATGCTGTGATGAGTTTCTAATGCAAATGCAGAGTTCTGATTTAAAGCAGCAATGAACTGACTTTTTCTCAAAGTTTTGTGAAATCCTCTGGTGGGTTTCTCAGGACATCCACCACAGATTTCTTTAAGCTCTTTCTGCAGTGCTTGTGGTCTCTTCTCCTAATTGGTGGTGGGTATTGACTCCTTCCTTCTCTGTCGGGTTTATTGGCTCCCAGCGATGAAATTAGTGCAGACAGTTGTGTACAGTGCGATCTTTCCAGGTGCATCCCAGCAGTCCGCCTGCTGCCCCAGGAAACCTTCCTTCTCCTATGCAGCTGTAGAATCTTGAACCCAAGATTTTTACAGATTTACGGAGGAATCTGCGTTTCCCATTGCCAACTGTACTTGGAAGAGGCTGTGTCCTCGAGCAAGTTGCCTGGCTTTTGCACCACAGAGCATCAGCTGGATTGTTCAGGGAGCCCTGGAGAGCAAGAGGGAGTACTTGTTCACTCTGTATTACCTGTGAATCCATCCCTGGCATAAAAAACTCCCTCTTTTCTGTTGGAGCCCTGTCTCTGGACCTGGTTGTCATTTCTTAATAGGCTTTCTTAAAAGGCCAAGGCTGAAGTGGATGGGGTTATTTTGCTCAGTTATTCAAAGAAATCTTGTCCTTCGTAAGGGCAGTAACTCCCACTAAAAAAGGCAAATTTATTATAAAAGAGAAAAAAATGTGAGGAATTGAGCAAAGAAACTTGATTAATGGTATTCTGAGGCATGCCTCTTTAAAGGCTGTTTCATGCGGTTTTCTTGGTGCTTCTCCAAGTACAGTTGTGCATGTGTTCCTTAAATATCCAAAAATACAGCATAGGGACACAAATTAGAAAATAAACCTGTGGTTTATCTATCAATTCCACATTTCTCCAAAGAAAGAGGCTCAGAACTCTCCCTAACTAAAGCGTTTACAATAATACAGGCAGAGCAGAAACAACTGCAAGAGACACCGAGCTCCAAAGCAAATAATCTGCGTGATTTTTCTGTCGAGTTTTGAAGGTTATTGTGATGAATCAGTAGTCTTTTCTGGACATTTGTATTCCTCAGTAGGAGAGGTTGTGCTTTAATAGAGGTACCATGACTACAGAGTAGTATTTCACATCACTATTCACATTATGCTGGCATCTAAAATTTTGAAGAAGATGGGTATTTATTCTTCCTGCTAGAGGGTATCTGGCTTTAGGAGTGACAATGAGATAAAGTGAGTAATTAGCCCAAAGTCCTCCCAAAGACGCTGTGGATGTTTGTGTCAAGTGAAACGAAGGAAGGTGTAGTTTTTACGTTTAGTGTGTAATCTAGTCCCAAACTTTTGTTTCTTTATTTGAAGTATTTCATATATGCTGAGGGGGAAGGGGGAAAAAAAAGTCAACCTGGCTCTAGAAAGCTGAAGGACTGGCCTCTGGCACCTCCCAAACCCTGCAATGATGGGCAGAATTGTAGGTTTTCCTCGAATGCAGTGGGTCTGCACTGTGTGCTACCTTGGGCTGTGTCTTAGTGGCTCCAGTCTTGAAAAGATTGGAAATATGTGAGCAGTCCTGGATTTCTTTGTTCTTAATAAAATGTCTGCAGAGTAACTTGGCAAGGTAAGGATGCTGGTGTTGCTGGAATCTCCATCTACTCAGGGTGTCGTGAAAAATGGATTTGAGACTGCCCAAAGTCACTCTAGCTCTGGGGTCAATTATTTTTTTTTTAAGGTATGCTAGTAGTTTACAAAGAAATTGATTTTTTTTTTTTTTTTCCTGAAAATTAGTGTTTCAGTCCCTGACTCAGTGAGTGATGATTCTTTAGTGATTTCGTTTAGTTGTTACTGGCTGAAGGAAAGATGAGGAAATCGAGCCCCTGGGACTTCCACTGCTCCATGGAAAAATGTGCCGATCAGCGGATCGGTTGTAATGAGCTGCACAGGGCCCCCGGGATGGACGCTGGGGCTGGTTGTGCTGGACACGCAGCAGGGCTCAAAATGGGAACATAAACGGTCCGTAGGCTCCCTGCTTATCTGTAGTTGAAATGGGTTCTTGCACCTCTTACCCTTCTACTGTATTAATGTGTTATATAGAATTGTGAAAAGTGTAGCACTGTGAAAGTCTTTTCTACTTCATTGTTTATTTATTTATTTTCCTCCTGACAGCTTCAATGTGTCTGCTTCCTTATTTCTTTCTTCTTTATGGTGTTTCATGTTCTCACCAACTGCCGCAGTTTCATTTCGTTTCTCTTGTATTTTCCTTAAGGCATAATCCAAAAATAGGATCCAGTTCTCCAGCCAGATACCTGTGGACTGGTGGAACGTTGCTGATCTTGGAGATCTTACTGCTCAGGTGAGTGACAAGGCTTTCCTCTCGAGTCGGGTATGATCACTGTACGGGCTTTCTAGGTATAGGATGGATTTTTTTTCTATTGAAAATAAGTATTGTGGCCATCAAGAGATGTGCAGCCGGTCTGGGCTCTTCCCTATTGCGATGGGCTGGTGGCAGCAGGGGATGTTCCTGACGTGCCAAGGGAATGGGATATCTAGGCAATAAAGGGGAAATAAGCTTTGGGAAATTATTATACCCATCAGGTTGCTGGAAATGGTTAAAATTGCAAAAATGCTTTCTATTGTGGAAAGTTTCATTAAAAGTTGATTCTTTGAGTTCAGTCTCAATTTAATAAGAGATAGTGTCTCCAACTTCTTAAAATTTAATTTGGTAGTTTATGAAGGAAATAATTAAAGCATGCTGTGCATCAGTCACTTTTTATTTCATAGAAAGTCTGTAGAAATGTATCATTCGTGTGGCAGCTGGAGCCTTTATTGGCCTGCAAACTTTATTTGTTCTTATTGACACAACATTCGCTAATCCAGAGTAAATGGGAAGGAAATTATTGATTTTTTTTTTCTTTTTTTTTTCTTTTTTTTAATAAAGGTTAATTTTGACCTTGAGGCTAGATAAAATGAGAGTTGGTGGAAACCTTGGAAAAGTTATGACTTTATGGGGAAAGCAGCTGGTGCTGTGCTCAAGAGCAGACTGATGCTACGTGTCTGGGGAAGGTGAGCAGTGAGAGAAATGAATTGAGGCCAAACCCCTGTTTTTTTGCGGTATTATTGCTCTACCTTGCAAACCCTAACCCAGAGGGGTTTGCCATGAGCTCTTGGGAGGCTGCATTTGCATCTGGGATGGTTTTAGTCAAGCTGCTTTTCCATCGCTCTTTGGACATGCTGCAGTTTTCAGTAGCTGCCTCAAGCAAAGGCTGCCCGCGGGTCTGATGAGCCCTCAGCTCGTCAAGCGCTCGACGAGCGCTGCAGCAAGTACCCAGGTCTTCAGTGGGCAGCCCTGCATCTTCATGAGCATTTTTCAAATTAATCAGCTCTTAAGTGACCTGGTAATTGTGTTTTATTTTAGATATGTAGACATTGGTCTGGTGAATCCATCCCAGCCTTCCTTTGCTTAAGAGCTTCCCTTGGGCCATGTCCACAAGGGACCACGGTGGGATTTGGTCCCTCTGCCAGAGAGGAAGATCATGGATGGCTCGCCTGGAGTCCTGGCTCCCGGCAGCAGATAGGGCACTGTGATGAAGGACTTCTGGAAGACGTGTGCTGAGGCCACCTTGGTGTTCCTGGTCAGTGACATCCTCCTGGGAGGAAAGAAGCACAGCCAAGGCAATGAAAGCACTGCATTAAATTCAGAGCAGATTTTGACTGGACAGCTTTGTGCCTTACATCTGGAAACTGTAGTACCAACAATAATGTTGTTCAAAATATGATCGTTTCTGGCCACAAAGAGCTATAGGGTCATTCAGCCTTTTGTGCTCAGGATATTACAATATGCAGCAATATAAAAGTGAATAATTTAAGAAGGACTGGAAAGACATCTTATTTTTCCTCCAGGGTTGCTTAATTAATTTCTTTCAACCTTTTTATACTGTTTGATGAATGTTATTTCAAACTACTGTCAAGGGAACAGTGAGGAGGGAAAAATGAACCACCTACATACTGCTCCTAATACAATTGCCTCTCCCCTGAACAACAGAATTAGAAAAATAGGTGTTAGTGTGTGAGCCTGACAGAGAGCATTTATAATAGTCATACATGCTTCAGTTTTAATTACGCTTGTCAGCGCATTTTATAAAACAAGAAATTATGTAAGTTAAATAAAAAGCCAAGATAGGCCGGGATATTTGAGGCTCTCCTTTCAAACAAACAAAAACATTGTATTCCTGTCTGTTATGCCTGTTACCCATAGACCTTTTATGCTGTGCTCATGTTAATAGAGAAATGAGCCCATCTGGCAGTACAGATTTTTGTTGTTGGAGGGAGGGTTATTGGGCCTCTTCTTGAGGAAATCTAACAAAACTGGAGAATTGTACAGTGTTTTGTATGGAGCAAAAAAGACTCCAGACTGAATCAAGTGAGCGTCTTTTCATGCCCTGTTCTTATCATGCTCAAATTCAAAGGCTAAATATTTGCATTTGCTCATGCTTCAGGTTCTGGTGGTACTTGGAGGCACTGGAAGATGGCAGAAGCAATATCCTTGTTCCAGAAATGATAATACAAATAGTTACTGTAGGAAAAAAAAAAGGAGTAATTCTTTCTGTTTTGAAGATGGAAATCGTAGCTGCCAAGCAATCACAGCAAGGAGCCTGTGCTCCCATGGCTCTGTACCGAGGCGCAAGTCGGAGAGCATCATCCGGATGGAGCCCAACCGCTTCAGTCCATGGCACTTGGCTGCCCATCAGCCCCGAAGATGAGGCCATTTGAAGTGATCTTCAGTGCCAAGGGTCTTCAGGACAATGCTCAGGTTGTTCTCAAGCCCATGGTGCACAGCCAGTGAGCTTGGCCTTGGTGTAGCTGCTCTTCCAGCTCGGCTGGCCATGACATTTCTCAACTGAAGGCTTCTTCAGGAATAATTTAGGAATGAAGTTTGTCTTTAAATAGAGCCTCGTTTCTTCTTCTCACGTTTATTTGCTATTTCAAAAAATCTTTGCTGAATAATTTATCAAAATAACCCCTTTTCTCTACTCCTTTTCTGAGTAGGACGTGTGAGAAGTTTCTGCTGCCTAATTGGAGGTTCTTAGAAGAACTTTATGCTGTGAATACGCATGAATGCAAAGTATCTGCTTTATGCATATTTGCTCTGACTTGAATGTGTTACTCCTGGAAAACCTTCTGTTCTACTGAATGTCTCTACCCCAAAAATTCCCCGTTACAATATTTGTGGAAAAACAAGCAGACAAAGGACAAGGACACAGTTGAAGTGTCTTAATTTGCAAGCATATTTGAATATTCATGGTGCATATTTTAATATTCACCCATTTTCTCCTCAAGTGAATGCAGCACCTCTATTTTAAGGTAGAGTGCATCTCTGGCAATTTATTTTATTATCAGAAGCATCCTGTCAGAAAAAGAAAAACCCAATGCAAGGTTTGACCAGCAGAAGTCCTAGTGTATGACTGAGGCCTTAAACTCATAAATCACCAAGACTTTTTCCCCTAGCTGGGTAGCATGAATAGTGAATATTAAAACAGAATATCCAGTCTGCTCGGGGGCACCTATGGAAGCTGCAAACCCACAGCTTGTATCCCAAAGCAGCCAGGGCTGGATGTGATGCATCCAACCCTTCCCTAGCGCTTTGAGTCGCTTTTCATCACATGTTGTGCTTAGAAGACCCATATCCTGAACTATTTAAGGGGAGGAAAGGATGAAAGCACTTTGGGTCCAGCCAGGGAGAAATTGGTATTCAATTTGCTCTGTTCAGGAGCAGGGTCTAGCCTGGTTCTTCCTGTTGCTGCTCCCCCACTGAGAGCTTTTTGGATCATCTTGGAAGTAAATTCCCTCCTACAGGTCATTTCAGCACTTCTACCCTGTACTGATAAATGGTGTTGCCAGCAAAAGGTGACTTTTTTCAGGACTGGCAAACTGTATTTCTTAACTGAAAGCTTATTTAAAATACAGTTGCAAAAAAAAAGAGACTTATGCTGGTAACTTTTTTCATTTTTTAAATCAGGTAGGAATAAAGGGAAGAGAGATTTGCATCTCCCATGTAGTAGTTGGAAACACAGCTCTGATTACCTTGGGTTGTGTAATTTTTCTTTTCAATCCACCCTGGACCCCCAGCACTCGGCCAGATGCAGCAAACATTGTTATTTTTGCATGATATGTCCTTTGGTTCCCCTAAACCCAAGTCTTTCTACTCATCTGCTCTTGAAGGGTGCAGACACTGCCAAAATGTCCTTGTGGCTCCTTGATATTTCGAGCTGTGTCAATCAGAGTGACGCCAACTCCTGCCGCTTCTGCCCGTGGCCCTGGTGCAGCAGCTGTCAGAGCTGCTAGGTAGGAGCTATTTTGGCAGCCCTAAGAGCTATGCTGTATGTACCAGAGATCCTTGCAGGCCCTCTGGATCTAAACTTATAATTTAGTTAGTCCAAAAATTATGAGAATTGTGTTGGTTGAATGATTTGCATGTTTAGAGTCTCTGTTAAATAACTGCTTTTTTTGTAGGTGCAAGGTCTTCCTGCAGTGCTCGGTGAGGTCCATGGAAAGGAGGTACTGCATGGCTTCAAAGAGCATTTGATTCAAACCAACCGAGAATTTCTACAGCAAAGGTGATTTTGGTCAAATCGGAGGAAATTTTTAAAATTAACTGAATTCTAATTCTTCCATGTGTCTGTGGGAAGTGCAGTGCAGTTGATGCCTACTTTGTTTTTCTGCAGAAATGTCGTATATACCCTACAAGAGTAATCTGTTTTCAGAAACAGGTAATTCATGAACCGTTTTGAAGTATAATCTGAAAATCTCAATATGACATTTTATTTCTTGCACTGTTATATCCGCAGACTTCTTTGTTCTGTGCCATACTTCCTTGTTCGTACATTCATTGAACTGTGCTAGCAAATAACTTGTGGGAGGAAAAAAAAGTTATCACCAGCTCCTGTTTTATTACTCAGTGCAGTTACAGGATGGTGCCTAGATGTGCCAGGAGGGAGAAGGAAGAAAAGTTGTCAAGTTTATTGAAACTGTTTGCGAAGTCAGCGTGAGCTACCATAAAAGAATTCAATTCCCCAAGCAGCCAAGCGCCTCTCCTGTAGAATCTGTCCAATTTAAAAAATGTGAATGCCAGAAGCAGTTGTCCTTGTTGACACGTGAATGTCTCGACCATGGATCTTTGAGGTAATGGGATATTTTGGCATCAGAGATTAGATGACATCTATAGAATGAGTGTATGTATAGGATAGACCTCTTGGTATGGTGGGAGGGAAGGTGCACGATACTCTAGGTCTTATCTCAGTCCTGTGTGATTAATATAAATATATGAAAGCATCTGGTTTTCGTGTTTGACCCTCAGAGAGTGAGGGTGAGGACAGGGAACAACTGTGTGTCCTAAAGCTAAGTGGACTTCCAAGGAATCAGCATGTTTGCCTCAGACTTTGTCCTGACCTTCACAATCTCAGGGGAAAGCCATCTGGCCAGGAGGGAGGTTTCTCTGGGGTTTTCAAACTAGGTTTATTTCCTCCCTCCCTATTTCGATGACCTCTCTGTTTATGTGGTTCAGGTATGTGCCTCAGCATGGCAAAGAAGAGAGAAGAGCAGCTGTGTTTCCCTGCGGTGCAGCCCATCTCTAGCACAGCATCAATCTCGTTATTGCGAGGTGCAATATCAAGGATGGATGCTGCCAGTGGTGTTGAGGACGATGGCACACTGCACTATTTCTGGGATTAATAGTTCCATTTATTTTCAGATAGTTTGCAGAGCAGATGCCACCTGGCATATAGACTATGCACTGCTAAATCAAATTGAATAAATGAGTCCAAAAGATTATCTGGAATTACTTCACACTCCACACTGTCGCTGCAAGGCACAAGCAGCAACATTCGCTATTATTTTTTTCATTGTAAGAGGCAGTTCACTCACTCATGCACTATTCACTCTGATGAATTTTGGGCCTGTGCAGCCCTGTGTTGCAGGGAGCATCCCAAGGCCTCGCTGGG